GCCTCCGGCCCCTGGCTTCAAGGAACGGGGGGAGGGAGGGGGGCAGGGCACAAGGCCAGTGGTGCTGGCCTTGCCCCCCAGCTCTGTCCCCTCCATCATGGTGGTGCCCTGGCCCCTCAGTCCCTATTACAGCAGTGCTCTGCCATATGTCCGTGTGTGTCCAGAGCACTCTGACAGGCTGCCAAGGCAACCAAATCTCATGCTTGACAGACAGAGAGACAGACTTTATATTGTAAGAATTGGGTTAGTGAAGTCCCACAGGTTTAGTCAGTCTTAGACGTATTTAACAGAATGGCATCTGAGAGATACATTAAGTTGATCCCTAGTCAGTAGTTCTCTCAAATCAGCTTAAAAAATGGAAGACAACTTGTACCACAGGAAAAAACAATGCTTTAAAATAGATGGAGATGGGGTAACTTTAAAACAGATGTGTAACCCTTAATTTGCCAGAACACACTAATCTCATTAGCAATGCTTGTGAGATCAGCTTGTGTATTTGTAAGGAAGCTATGCCAGTGGGCTATTCTCAATTACTTCAAAACAGAGAAATTAGCTATCTTTCACTTGATTGGACAATTCAGATTTTAATGCAAGCTTTGAAACTTCTGCAGCTTTTTAGGTTGTCCCTCAGCTTCCTTCCTCTACAGTTCCTGCACATCCTTTCTTTAGCTGAAAACTTTAATTATTTAAATTCTCAAAGGAGCTACTGGAACTAAAATGTCTATTCCAAAAGGCAGGCAGGGACTTTGACCCCATTAAACAAAGAAAAAACATACAAAGACAAAACTCCCATACAGTGTAACAAGTGCACAATTTAGAAAAATTCACTCACAACATATGAAGTGGTCACTTCCCAGATTAAAATAGCAGCTTCCTCCTCAATGCCATAATCAGCTTGCCCATAGCCCAAAGAAGCAGGTTTGTGAATTTTATTGCCAGCATGAGGCCCATCCACCACTTGAGGTCACATACACAAATGCACCCCTGAAGGTCTGAGATTTATCAATTCATACTCTTCCAGATGAACTGAAAAAGTTTTTCAGCAAAAGCCAAGGGTAAAGGCTGGTCTCCTTTAAATATGAGGATGAGAGATAGTTAAGTGCCAAGCTAGAACCAAGATCATGGATGAACTAGTTTGGACCAGTTTTGCTGCTTGGAGAAGAGATATTTGATCCATTCAAAGAGAATATATATTTTAATAATACCACCTCCAGGCACTTTGGGAATTTCTCCCTCTCCATTAGGTGCATATAGTTGTGCGAGCAGTTTATAACTTTGAAAATTCAGACTCTCTCAGATAATCAAGCTCTGCTTTAGGTGATGCCCAGTATTCCAAATTGGAAAACCTTAAAAAGCTTAGCCTACAGACCACTTTATTCAGACCTGAAAATAAGATTCTACAAACCAAACTTCGTCTTTATGATCAGCAAGAAAAATATGATCAGCAGGAAGAATAACAAAGCCACAAGCTGATCCTAAGCTTTCATTTAAAGTTATTCTGCTCTTTACAGCCGTGATGGGGGAAGCCGGGTGCAGTCATACATCTCCCTCCCTTTTGATTCCTGGTCCATGCTGACAGTGGCAGCAGTATTTCTATTCAGGCACCAGTGAGATAGTCAATTGACTTCATGACACTAATCTGCCCGATCCCTTCTAAATGCAGGCGTTAACAACCCTCTATCCTTTCTAAATGATCTTGATGTTCTTCCATCCTTTCTTTCCCGGAATTCTACTGTCTTTTAGGAGCTACATTACCAGGAGCAGCTATTTCACACAGGCTGTTTTTAAATCTAGATAAGACCATTAACTTGGTTATGGAAGTAACTTTCAACAAAGCACTGGATGCACTGTCAAGATGCTCAAGGCGGCTGGACTTTTTCCCTCCCCCAGAGTCATAAACAGGGACCTGGGTTTTCCTTTTCTCACAGAAAAACAGAGTAAAACACAGATTTCTCATTTTAGCAGAGAAACCTATGGATTTTGCAGTTTTCCAAAGAGCTCTCTGCAGGCTGGCAGAGTTCCAGCCTGCAGGGGGCTGGGAGGGAGGTCAGGCAGGGGGTGGCATGGGCACGCACATGTGAGAGGTACCAGCAGAGCTGGGGGGGAGGGGCACGCTTTAATATTAAATCATGGATTTTGGTGTTTAAACAAACCAAACCAAACCAAACCAAACAAGATAATTTGCCATTTTGTTAAAAACAAACAAACAAACAAACACACACAACACCCCCCCCAAAACCAAGATCCCTGGTCATAAAAACAAAGACGTCCATTTAATTCTAACGACTACAGGTCTAGTGAAAAAGAATCTTATGTATATGATAAAACTAGGCAAAAAATAATCATAATGCACATTCCAATGTTATATTTGTTTTTGCTTCAAATCTTAAACCAAATAATATCCCAAGTCCTGCAATGTTAGTAAAGCTTTCAATTTCTTTTTAACTGGAAAAAAAATGTGTTGTTATATATGAATTTTTGGTTGTAGCTGTGTGTTGGACAAAGAACATAGGCAGACAAGGTTCTTTGAGCAGATGTGATATCTTATTAGACAAAATGAGTAGCTGGAACAAAGTTGTTAGTAAGCTTTTGGGCGCAATCACCCTTCTTCAAGCATAGGGAGTGTATGAGTTCAGGCATAGGGAGTCTCTGTTGTTCTGAAGAAAGGTGACTGCGTCCGAAAACTTGCTAACAACTTCCCCCACCCCCCAAATACTCAGTTGCTCTAATAAAAGATATCACATCTACTCAAAAGAACCCTGCCTGCTTATGTCTTTAGTCCAACACAGCTACAACCAAAAACCCACATATAAAACGCAACACATTAAAAGGTGCAGATCAAGCAACAGAATTGCCAACTCTGCAAGTACAATTTATTCTTCTGTATTCAACTGAGCACATGGCACGTTCATAATCTGCACTGTGGACCAAGACTTTTTTCTTATGTTAACATTTAGGTTTTGGCCATTTCATGGCTCAGAGCCTCTTGTACCATAAAGATAACTGATAGCAAAAGACCTGGATTTCCATGCAAAGTGGCCAGCACTCAAATCACCCCCATATACTGCCAACAGGCAGAATAATTTTGAGTCTAAAATCTCTAGTGGCCTGGTCCGTTGCATTAAAAAGGACTCTTTGATCTTCCATTAGGATGGCTAAAATGTCATTACTCTTTAGCAGGGGCAAACTTACCCGGGGCCCCAAGCCAGATGTGGACTGGACTGCTAGGGAACGGTGTTGCAAGGGTCTCCAGAGGAGGAACTGAGGGGCTCACCCTGCTGGAAGCCTTGCAACCTGTATACAGCAGTCCCTAAAAGGCATTTTAAAAGGCCCTGATCCACAGCTCCCTAGAGGCAGAAGCAGTCAAATCTGCCAGGTTAGCTAGCCATGCGCTGCAAATTAAAACCCACACCTACAGCCCCTCTGAGCTTCACACATGGGTTTTAAAAGGGGTTGGTGTCAGCAGGCCAGGATGAGGGAGAGGCTCTCAAAGATCCTGGCAGGCAAGGAACCCAGGATCAGAAAGCCACACATGCTGTTTTTAGATCCCACAGCACACAGAAACCCTGGGATTGCAGAAGATTTTCTAGGATACCTTAAAATCAAATGTGCAGCACATGCAGTTTTTTAGCCTCTCAGTGCCCTATGCTGTTTTCAGACTTCCTAGTGCAGAAACCCATAGGTTTGCAGCTGCTGACTGTGGGGGATGGAGTCTACCGACTCCCCCAACCAGCACTTGCAAGCCTATCCCTAGGTCAACTGACTGAGACTGGGGGCCCAATTCCAGCATGCCATGAAATGAACATATACAGTTCGTTAAACAGAAACCTCGCACTTGGAAAATATTTAAATGTCTGGACTTTAATTCTTGCTTTGCCCTGACAATGAAATCATGAAGGCATAGCATAAAATGAGAAGTCCATTGGCCAACAATACTTCCCATTTCTTTCTGAAAGGAATAAACAAAAAATAGTTCCGTATTGATGGTGGAAGAAAGGAGCAAAACAAACAAAATCTTTCTGAAGTTTCCCCTCAATTTAAATTTTGGGCCTAGCAATTTTACTTCAAACCATACGTATTACAGACACTTCCTACTTTCTCAAAACACCCTATTGCCTTTTGAATGATGGAACAAAACAATACTTTTCAAACTTCAAGCCTCCAAGGGTGGCTTCTTCAAACAAAGAAGTGTCTAATCTTCAGACCATACAGCTCCACTGAGCAAGAGACAGCTACTGTTTCAGGCTCTCTACAAAACTCAAACAAGCATCGGATGCGTCTCCCCATTTTCATAACTTAATTAGCAGCTGCAAGATCTACAGACTTTGGGCCAGCGACAGCACACACCTTGGCTAGCTTCTATTTACAGCCAGATATACCAGCAGGAACGTCTAGGTATAGGATTGGACTTCAGTGTCTATCATGCTCTGGACAGAACCTAAACCGACATGATTAAACTTTGATGTCATCAAAAACTTTGACATCAGCTCAGTCTGAGTCACATGGGCCAGATGGGTGAAGCCAGATACAGTACACAGGGTGGGTACAGCAGGCCCCGACCCCAAACCAGCTATGTAGTGCTTAAGGAATTTGAAAAAGACCAGTGCAGTCAGACTCATAAAACACCTTGCGTGTAAAAAGGAAGCATCTCAAGGTTCCAAATGCCAAAGCATCTGTGTCTCTAAAGTTGGAAGATTCCCACATTTAGAAGACAACAATGCTGCAATTTTACAAGGTGACAATGACATGCCTATGCTCAGATGCAAACCATTTCAATTTTTTGTAAACCAAAATTAGTTCTTACCTTGCAACATGCATCTATACGCAGACTCAGATATTGCATAAATGTGCGGTGGCATTTCATGGCGTTTCTTCCCTCTGTACATCTCAATAATGTTTTCTGAATAAATTGGAAGGTTCTTGTAAGGATTTATGACAACGCAGAACAGTCCTGAATAGGTCTAAAAGGAGACAGACAACATATCAGCACTTTGGAAAATTTAGTCAAAGAAGAAATATCTAACCATCTAAATCATAAATGCACTATTAAAAAGGAAGAAAAAGTGGTAAGGAAAGGTCCTTCTTTCCCCCCCAATTGTGAGCTATTTGCGTACCATTCTTGAACATTAAACCTAAAACTTACCCCTCAACATATTAATTACTTTAAAATACTGTTTTTTACTTCTCTTAAATGTCACATATAGTTTAAGCATCAAATAACAGAGTTTGGAGTATTTGACTGTCTCCTAAATGCAGCTATCTGAATTTCTGCAGTTTTCAAAACCAAAAAGGGACACTGCATTAGCACACTAAAACCACAAAGTAACTATTTAATTTTGACTCTTCCCCAAGCTTGGACAGCCAGCAATTTTGGCAGAAGAGAAGTATACAATTTCTTTCTTTGAAAGGAAAGACATTTTTGTATCAAACTTGTAAAGCTTATGAATATTTAGCTGCTCAGGTGCAATCTAAGCATGCGGATACTCAAAATGATCAAATACAGGATAATCACGTAGACACTTGGAATTGTGTTGTTTCTCCTGCTACCAGTGTAGGAGGGGAGGAAAAAAAAGTGTATGCTGTATGCCAGTGGTCTCCAACCTTAAGGTGAAAAATCACTTTTTGAAGTAAAGGGGCAATCCAGGATCTACTGCCTCCCCCACCACCCAGCAGGTCAGTCTGTAGGGAAGGGTAAATCAAGGTCCCCCACAGTGAGGGAGGGAGCAGGGCAGGGGTGAGTGGGGTCCCAGCCAGGCTGGACCAGGGGAGGGTCGGAGCCTGGGTGTCTCATACAGGAGCGTGTGTGTGTGTGGGGGGGGTCCTGTCAGTGCATGCACCCTGGCAGAAGACCAGGGAGCATGTGCACCCCCCAATTTGTGCACGGGGTGAAGTAGCTGCCACTGTGCACTGAGCTTTGCACCCCGAGCTACAGCATGGCTCAGGGTGCAAAGCCCGGTGCACAGCGGCAGCTGCCTCACCCCAAGAACAGATTGGTGGGGGCACGTACCCCCCAGGCCTCCTCCAAGGTGCGTGTAACAGCGGGAGCCCCTGTGTGCCTGGCCCAGCCACATGCACCCCACTGCTCCCAGACTCTGTCCTGGCCGCTCCCCACATGCGTTCTGCTGCTCCCAATCACAGAGCCTCTGACAGTAGATCTTAGTCTGGGGGGCAGCCCCCCCAGACTGAGACACTGTCAGGGGCTCCCCGATTGACTGGTTGGTGACCACTGCTGTACCCTCTTTCTTCAGGACATTTCCAAATTGCCACACTTTTGAAAAGACTTCAAAATGAATAGATCTGTATCAAGGTCTCAACAGTTGGCCTTTGTCATAGATGGGAAAGTCAATTGATAGTCACTGTAGGAGCAAAGTGGTCAAATTCCCCTGGCAAAGCGAGCTATATTCCATAACGAGTTGTTTTGTAGGTAAGGATCCAAAAATAATTTTCAACCAAGATTCCCCAGCTAATATTGAGGAAATTTTGAAGCGAGCAAGAAAAGACAAACTGTAGGAACTGAATCACTTACTACATTTAGCATTGCTCAGGAGAAGCAGCCTACTCTTCCCCAACCATTACATGTTCTCTCTTCCTCCTACACAGGTGTTTCTTCTTCTTCTTCCCATATACTTGTATACGGCAGTCCAACTTACAATGTTTTGCACTTGCAACATTTATAAAATCGGCACTGTTTCTACTTTATGATGTCAGTTTTAATTATACAACACTTGATCCAGTGTGATGCCACATCAGCGAACAAGTTTGCTGCACCGCTCATCTCCTGGAGAACATTTATCCAGACTTCCTCGGACACTTTCTTTAAGAAAGCAGACAAGACTCCAGAAAAAAAAACTGCAGCCAAGGCTAATGAGAAGACACCAGCCAAGAACCCTTCAAGAAGTCCAACCAAGAGCCTTTCAAAATGTCCAAAGTCACCTCAAAAAAGTCCTTCTAAATCAATATGATTGCTATTTACAATATAAATCCATTAATGTAGCTATATTACTCATCTATAATGGATAGAGGACAAAATTTTGGGGTAGTTTTGGTGAAAATAGGGTATCGGGCTTTGGTTCAGGAACCAATCCCCCATTTATAACATTGCTTCTTATGAGAAAACTGGTTCCGAGTTGCATTTCAACTTAAGACGCAGTTTTCAGGAACCAATTGTGTCGTTAAGTCTGAGAACTGCCTGTACCTCCTCTGATCTTCCTTCTGTATTTCTTTCTTATCAAAATACTCACGTTCCTGAAGGCCTCACAGCCATACCCATTCTATTCTAAAGCATGGAGTAGGAGTCAAGGATTCAGGAGCTAATGTAGACACTGAAGCATCAACTGTGTTTTAGTGGCAATACTCTAAAGAGGGGTTTGAAACACCTGGAGTTTACAGAAAGCATGATACAAGATGTTTACACTGTTCTCATCTGGAAGGTTCTCTCCGCCATAAGATTTAGGGGTTTTCAGGGCTTTTTTGTTTATTTGTTTGATTCTGGGTTTTAGAGAATGAGTTCATCATGAAAGTCATGAGCAGATTATGCCAACAAGGGCATATTTGATACATTGGTCCTACAAAAAGAAAATAAAGAAATGCAAGCTGAAATACCCCCCGTGCAGGAATTAACTAAAAATCATATCATAGGAAGGAAAACAGAAAAAGTGTGAGCAAGACTGTCCACTTTTTTACCTAGCTCACTAACAGAGGTTATCAATTAAAGATCTGTTATAGCAAGCCAAAAGGTTACACTCACCAAAAAGAGGTAAATATTAAAACTTTAAAATATTTTTATGGGTATCTATATTGCTTTCAGGAAATTTCCCTTCCAAGCCTGAGTGTCTAATTCCAAGTAAGTAGTTATCAACTTCAGTTAGTAAGTTCTCAGGGAGAAGGGAAGGTATCTTTGCTTGTGATATTACCTTTCAGGATTCATTGCTTGAAATATCAGTGTTAGCCTTAAGTTACTTTCACTGGGCTAAGAGAGCATCAGTCAAAAAACACTTTTTTATACTGATATACTAAGGAGTTTCTGAATCAGAGAATCAGTTGGCAACCTTTTGCCAGCATAGGCTGCTCTTTGCTACCCAGCCCTGACCACGGCCCACAAGTTTTATGATTGTATAAGTATTTCCTTGTTAATATTAGAAAATTATATGCTTAACAAAAATTTGCTAATTAGCAAAGTTTTAAGACTCCATTAGAATCAAGATAAAAGTGTCAGAGTTCCTAGCAAACTACAGGATGCAGTATCCCTCCATCGCTCATCTCTAGTATACTTTTTGATAAGTTAACCACTCATACATGTTAGCATTACCCTCACTTCTGCAAGCATAAGGGCTACATACTAGGGATGTAAATATTATTATTTTTTTAAATTATGTTTAACATCCTCCAATTACATTGGTTAAAAGGTTAACTGATAGCTCATACTTAGTTTAGTGACCTCCAGCAGGAACAGGAACAGCCCCAGCCATCTTTACCATGCTCCCAACACAGTTGGCCCCAGGCCACTGGTGGGGAGCCATGGGCAGGGGGCAGCAGGTGCACGAGTCACTAGGGAGCGCTGTCCAATTGCAGAACCATGGCTTCCCCTCACACCCACAGGCAGGACTGGGGCTGGGGATCTCCCCTGTGCCCAGATCCCACTCACACAGGGAGCAAGAGGTGCTGGGCCTTCCTGCCACAGCAGCGAGACTCCTGGTCATGCAGTGTTGGGGCCAGGGCAAGGGCAGAGGAACAGGCTCCCTGCACATCCCATCATGCTTGTGCCAACTGTGGCCAAACCTAGAAGCTCACCCCAGGGGCAGGAGGGGGAATCCACTCCCAGTGGGGCAGTCTCCACTGGGTGCATGCATCCTTCCCCCTCCCACCTGTGGCACTGGGGCCACACAGGGCTTGGAACAGCCACAAGGCGGGGCTGAGATACAGCTGAAGCAGACAGTGCTGGGTTTGAGGGGTTGCCACTAGCCTCTCATGCAGCAAGCGCAGCCCCAAGGAGTTCCTGGGGAGTGGCAGTGCAGCAGAGATCCTGGGGGAGTGTTAAGGCTACAACAGTGGCCTCCCACCCTCACAGTACTCTCCTACCCCCAACTCCCCCTGCCCATGCTGGAGACTACCACAAGAGCATAAGTTCAGTTGCCAGCCTTTAAAATAGGTACATTATATCATCCTCCCATTCACCACTCTCAGCCCAGAGTTTGAAGGGGGGTGGCCAGCCAGCATCTCTCACCTACACAAGACCAGGCTACTAGCCTCTGTTTGAGAATTTGCAGGCACAGCATCTGTAGGAGTTGACAGCTGCTCTACCTCAACTGGCAGAAGCTCAGGCAGAAGGGCTCCCCTGGCCTCACAGATACTGTGCAGCATACAGAGACCACAAACTGGGGCATGCTGAACTCATTGGCATTTACACGTGTCTTTAGGCACCCCCAGCAAGCCTCAAGAAGGCTAAAAGCATGTTCCACAGCCAGCTTCTGAGCTGGTAATTAAACAGTTCCTTCTGGGCATCCAGTGAAAGTCTTCAGCCTGGGATGCAGTGGGAAAAACTCTGCTCCATCACTTCGGGGATGAGGGAGCTCCTAAATATCCTGACACTGTGTGCCCTGCCACATTCAAATGCAAGAAACAGCCATGGTGGTCCCACAACTACCTGAAGCATGACTGAAGAGTCACCCTTCCAGTTGATGAATTCATAGCTATAATGCGATGGCATCACCACTAATGGCTCCAGTGCAGTTGGGGAACCCCAAGCTGGCAACTCTTGTCTATGACCTCCTGTGCGTTGGCAAGGTATACAATATGCAGGCCCATCACGTGTTGAATCACCAGCCATACCTTCTGCACTGCCTCTCTAGCCATTAACTTGCCCATGCCAAAATGGTTTGCCAGAGACTGGAGGCTGTCTGGGGTTGCCACCTTTCAAGGAGAAGCATATGGCAATCACTATATGGCTACAGACTCATTGTCA